TAACACGTATTTCATAGAAAATAAACCAGATCTATGAGATAGAAGAGAATGAATATACATTCACACATATAACAACAAAATTATATACATAACACGTATTTCGTATAAAATACTTCATAATTATGCTTTAGAAGAAAGTAACTACACACCCACTTGATCAGAAGATGATCGGACAGCACTACGGCTTGTAGAAGTAGTATTCTTCGGCAGATCTGAAAGATCTTCACAAAAATCGAACTTCTCGCGGATAGAGCTTCGGCTCGGGAATCGCACTTCTCGGGATCCTCGGGGCTTCGAAACTTGCTTCGGGGCTCGGGAGTATTACCGGGGCTTCGGGGTACTTCTGGCACGCAAATCGAGGTAAAACGGGAGAGAGAAGATAGAAAAAGAGCAAAAGAACTCGGCTGCCTCGCATCCTATTTATAGGAGGCTGGAGCCTCGCCGTACGTTGGGCGTATGCGTTCGAAAACGACACGGAGTTCGTCATCCGAAGAACTCGAGTGCGAGGGACGTCACGCTTCGCTGTACGTTGGGCGTAACTCGGATAAGCTCGGTGACTCCCCTTCGGATAAGGCCAAATTTTATAATTAAATTTAAATATTAATTATTTAGTAAACTTTGAAAATTCATATCTTCTTCATACGAACTCCGTTTTCGACGTTCTTTATACCCACGCGTAGGTAAGACTACGCTCTACAACTTTTGTTCAGACTCCGTTGGCTAATTTTGACTTTATTTTTTATTAATTATTTTTAATAAATTCATAACTTCTTCATCCAACGTCCGTTCTCGCCTAACTTTTCATCGATTTGATACTAACAACGAGATCTTCGATTCTCGTTTAGATTGCTTCGGCTAAAAACCGTTCGATCTCAAATCGAGTATTTCGGGCTGCATACCACTAAGTCAAAAGTTCAATAAATCATAACTTCCTCATATGAAGTCAGATTTTGGCGTTCTTTTTATGCACGCTCTCGATTTAACGAACTCTACAACTTTCGTTTAGATCACTAAAGATAAATATCGCTCTAACGTAAATTTCACTTTTTAGGTCATTCAGCGTTGCCGGTTCTGTCGCGAACCTTCGACGGGTCATAACTTCTTCGTTATAACTCGGATTTCGACATTCTTTATATCTTCAGAAACCTTGTTTTAACTACTACAACATTATCCAAAGATATCAAGTTTATTTTATACTTAAATTTTGACACTTATTTTTATTCTTAATTAATCAAACTGCATAATTGAGCAATTAAGCACAAAACACATAATACTCAAATAATACACTTCTATTATTTCAAAACGGGTTATAAAGGTTAACCTAGAATATTATATTATCATTGATGACAGGCCCAAAAACACAGGCATTACAATTCTCTCCACCATAGAATGATTCTGTCCCCGGAATCACACATCAACAAACAAATGCGGATAGCGACCCATCATGTCACTCTCCGTCTCCCAGGTGAGATTCGGCCCATTCATGTGTTTCCACCAGACAAGCACTAACTCGACCATCTTGCGTCACAACTTCTTAGTCTTTCGGTCAACAATTGCCTCTGGTTCTTCAATCAACCTTTTTTTCTCAAGATTCTCGACTCCGAAAGTGGAATCATGTCGGGAACTTCCCCCGTGAACTTCGTCAAATAACACACATGAAAAGTGTTATGAATTCCGTTCAGTTCTTCTGGTAGTTCGAGCTTGTAAGCTTGGTTCCCAATCCTCTGAAGAACTTTAAACAATCCAATAAACCTTGGACTCAATTTTCCCCTTTTACCAAATCTTATAAGTCCCTTCCACGGCGAGACTTTAAGCAAAACCAAATCCCCAACTTCAAAAGTCATCGGTCTTTGCTTTTTGTCAGCATAGCTCTTTTGACGATCCTGAGCTGCTAACATTCTTTCCCTAATTATTTTCAACTTTTCAGCAGTTTGATGAACCAACTCCGGTCCCATAAACTGCTTTTCCCCAGCCTCAAGCCAACAAGACGGCGTACGACACTTCTGTCCATACAAAGCTTGGTAAGGTGCCATCTTGATGCTCGAGTGGAAACTATTATTGTAGGAAAATTCTACCAACGGTAAATGTTCATCCCAGTTACCTAGGAATTCCAAGGTACATGCTCTTAGCATATCTTCAAGCGTTTGTATCGTTCGTTCGCTCTGGCCATCAGTCTGCGGATGGAAAGTTGTACTTAAACACAACTTGGTACCCATTTCCTCTTGTAGACTTTTCCAAAACCTCGAGGTGAAATGGCTATCACAATCCGATACAATCGTTAATGGAACACCGTGAAGCCTCACAATTTCCTTCACGTAAGAATTTGCAAGCTTCACCATAGACCATTTCTCCTTGGCTGCTATGAAATGCGCACTCTTAGTGAATCGATCAACTACCACCCATATCATGTCGTGACCATTCTTTGTTCTAGGCAGTTTAGTGACAAAATCCATAGCAATGTCTTCCCACTTACCCATAGGCACATGCAATGGTTCTAAACTCCCGTACGGTTTCTGATGTTGTGTCTTTACTCTTGCACAAGTCACACACTCAGCCACATACTTTGCAACATCGAGCTTCATCGTTGGCCACCAGTAGTAGGGTTTCAGGTCCCTATACATTTTAGTGCTACCAGGATGAATCGAGTACATGGTTTTGTGAGCTTCTTCCATCAGAAGATCCCTAATTCCTCTTGACTTAGGTACCCAAATACGATCTTGGAATACCTTCAGTCCATGACCGTTTGTACCAAACACCAACGTTTTACCCAAACGTTACTCCTTTCGGTCATTTTTCTCAGAAGCTTCCTCTTGAGCTTTCTTTATACTCTCCACAATTGTCGAGACAACTTCAATTCTCAACGCTCTTGGCCTTTTCCTTTCAAGATTGACTTTCCGACTGAGAGCATCAGCAACAACATTAGCCTTACCAGGGTCGTAAAGTATCTCGCAGTCGTAGTCTTTAAGTAATTCACTACTAGAAAAACAGCCTTTTACGATGCTCATTGCGCGTCGTAAAAGGCTCAGACGACACGCAAATGCGCGTCAAGGAAGGCCCTGTCATAAAGAGAGACGACGCGCATTTACGACGCGCAACTACGACGTGCGTTTACGACACGCAATGCGTATCAAGGAAGGCCTTGTCATAAAGAAAGACGACACGCATTCACGTGTCGTAACCTTACGATGCGCGTGTTAATGACACGCAATGCGTATCAAGAAAGCTCCTATCAAGAAAGGCCATGTCATAAATGAAGATGACACACATTTTTGCGTATCATAATTTTAAATGTAAAAAAAAAACATTATTTATAGATTTACTAATTTTCAAATTAAATTTGTATTTAATGTCTCATAATAGAAATAAAATACAAAAAATACAATCCATTGCATAAAGTTTAATATCATATAATTCTATTTCTTACAATATATAAATTTGCATTCATCTAATCTACTCCGTGTTTCATACTAACAGTTGGAATGAAGAATGCAACACTTGCATTTGCAGCATCTTATCTCTTTCAGCTTGAGCTTTCTTTTGCTCTTCTAACTCCAAAGCTAATCGCTTTCATCATCAACCTTGCAATCATGTCAGTTGTACAATATCAATATCAACTCATTAATAATGCACATGGTATGTATGTATGTATGTATGAGAGTGGAAACAAAATGATCTACCAATAAGTGTTTTGTACTGCCTTGAATCAAAGTATTTTTGGTGGCTTCAAGTACAGCTCCCAAAGGATACTCCTTCATACACCCACCTGCATATATGCAAATATACATGTACAATATTGAGTATGTTATGGGAAAATTGCTGAAAATAGCAACATACTTTCAATATTGGTAAAGGGGTAAAATATTAATTTGTGGAGTATATTATGGGGCATTGTGATTTTATATATACCTAATACTACAAACTATCATCATCTTTAATTACAACTTGTTTAATTTGTTGAAATGTGTAATTTGTGTCAAGTGTTTAAATTAATAAAAAATACTCTATATAAATTAGTAAATATATAAAACAATCTTATATGAATTGACAAAAAAAATGAATCTTTATCTTTTATCTAAAACTTTAAGTGATGTCATGAAACGAGATAATCGATTATTGATTATAATAGTAAATATTTTGGTCTTTAAGTAATATATGATTATACATTTCGTCTAAGCTACCGTTTTTTTACAGAAATTATAAAAATAAAATAAAGATTAAATAAACAAACATTAATTTGAAAAGGGAAAATATACCCATGAAAAAGAAAAAAAGGAAACACATGCTTGAGTGGGTGTCCAAAAGAGAGGAACATTTGTCACCTGAAACCAAACCCCTTTTCCACACCAATAGCAAATGGCAAAGTGGAAGGGTAAACTTATATCTCTATTCCATGATAAAAAAAAAAAACAGCCACATGGAAATCTGAAAAAAGATAAAACCATAAATAAAAATAAACCCAATCTGGCACAAGACTTTTGGAGCAGTAGCACATATGAAATGGACAACAATGATAAAAAAAACGAGTTTTGGTGTTGGGTTGAAAAAGTATGAAGTTCTTCTAGACGATAAACCAAAAGAATTCACTAAATAAACTTCTATATAATAGAAGAAGTAAAATTAATTATACCCTATCATTTGGAGCTGCTGCATACCCATAATGAAGAATAGAGGAGTGCAACAACTAGAAGAAGAAGAAGAACAGAAATAGCTCCTATTCATGAAAAAAAAACATTTGTACCCTTTGGTATCTTTTAGAAATCAACAGAGGAGTGCAACAACACTTACAATAAGAAATCAGCATCAATTGCAGCAACAATTGCAGGAATCAGATTACACTGTAATTCTTGATTCCATTCCCTCTTTGATTACTGCATACCAAACACACTACCTTATTTAAAGTAACTATGACAGACTCATCACTTCACTCGGTAAAAATTGTACACAAAACCAAAAAGCTCTCTTACTTCATCTGAACTGTCTTCTAAATCAGACGCATCACTTCACTTGGCTTTCTTGGTGGCTGCAGCAGCACCATTCTTGGCAACAGCAGCTGGCTTTTTTGGCGCCTCCTAAATTACATAGAAGAATACTTAGAAAAGTGGAGAACAACATGTATCATGTAGAGAATGCTGCTAAAAAGTGACAAAATTAATGTGAAATTAGACAAACTGTATCCAAGTGCCAAGAGATTTACACTCTGACTCACTTCTTCATCTGATGAATCACTATCATCCGATGCTTCAGATTCAAATTCAGATTCATCTGAACTACTTACAGGTTTACTAACAAGTTTTTTATTCGATCCAATTTTAGCTGTAGGAGCGGACTGTTTCTTAGGTTTAGGTTCCTGCAACATGTTAAAAAGGCTTGTAGAAGGGTGAAGAATAAAATAAACGGATTTTTTTACAACATGTGATAATGACTTCATATTCAACTTCCCTTAGCCAATCAATGGCCTCTGAGACCTCTTCTTTTAAGTTCTAATTCAGACAAACATAATAGGAGAGAAAATAGACAGCATTAAAAAAAATCTAAAAAAGTTCAAATTTTTAATAAAAACCTACCATTTATCACCCCAAGTTATGCACGAAGGTTAGAAACTTGTCCATCTATTGTCTGTTGTGGAGCTTTTAGATCACCTATGCATTCAAGATTCTTTTGGTGTCCAAAAATCAGATCACCTATGTATGTATCTCAAATAGAAACCTACTTTCATATCTTTTTATTATTTTTTTCTTAAGTATAAAACGTATGAATCAAAAGCACATGGAATAAGTTATCTCACCGCACAATGTACGACAACAGGTGCCCATTGACTTTCAACACCTAACATTAGTATATGTTCCAAAACATTTCCCTAAAAATAATAGATGAAAAGAAACTGAGTCGTGATGATGCATAAAGTCTAGAGTTTTATATTTATGAAAATAAATAGAAGATTTAAAAAAACACGAGTTTTTTATGCAAATAAATAAAAAAACGAATTGTTAAAACTTAAAAGATAGGGATATAAAAGTTACCTCATTCCAGTCCAAACAGTCGATAGCTTTGACACATTGATTTTCCTCATTTAACCTTTTTTAGCATTCCTAAAAGCTCGCATCATCACCATTGGTTCCCAGCTAAGTCCACATGTCTTTTTTAGGACATTTTTAACCACAACTGGTTCGCCTCTTCTCCAATGCATTTGAAAATGTTCAAAATCTTTGTCTTCTAAGTCAATAGCATCAGGGCAATATAGTAAATTGTTGTCATTACTACTACTACTACCCTCCCTAGAAGCCGATTTCCTTACACCACGTCTATGATGATGATGATTTTCCACACCAATGGCAAATGGCAAAGTGGAAGGGTAAACTTATATCTCTATTCCATGATAAAAAAAAACAGCCACATGGAAATCTTAAAAAAGATAAAACCATAAATAAAAATAAACCCAATCTGGCACAAGACTTTTGGAGCAGTAGCACATATGAAATGGACAGCAACGATAAAAAAAAAAACAAAAACAAAAAAAAACGACTTTTGTTGTTGGGTTGAAAAATATGAAGTTCTTCTAGATGATAAACCAAAAGAGTTTTGGTGTGGTGAAGAAATATGCTTTTCCATCTGATACTCTTCATTTCTAGTTTCATTTTCCTCATTACCTACTCCAAAAGTAGTTACTTAATATCACCAAAAGATGAAATCACCATATACAAGCAACTTATAATGTTATAATATGCACTGAGAAATTGAAGATTATTTAGTAATGAGCTAATTTCAGTTTAGTCATTACATAGTGGAATGATAATGATATATACCTCAGTGTGATCTTCAGAACTTATACCATTGGCATATTGGATCACAGAAAGCTCCAATTTTGACTTCAAAACACGGCATTCAGTCAAACTAGGGTGCATGGTCTTAAGATCTGTCTCAAATTTCTCAATCCCCTGAAATAGTAAAAAATACAAATATAGTATCACTTACTAAAGTAGCAAAAATAACATATTATTCACACTAACTGTGTATACTTCCTGCAATTTATAGATTGTTTTTGGTATGCTACAACTTAACTTAGTTTTTAAGTTTTTTTAATTGTTATTTGGTCAAATCAAAGAATAATTTATAAACTAATATTTTCAAATGCTACTTACTTATTTTTTAAGAAATTTAATATTTTATATGGAATTTTTCTATTAGGTATAGACTAGGAAATAACATACAAAATTGACCCAGTGATATCAAATTTTGACTTGTGCTAATGAGCAGGAGGAGCCCTTGGGGCAGATTTCTCAGCCATTCCCACACTAATTTTGTAACCTCTCAATTCATAATCTGATCAAACATTAAATAAAAAAACTAAATTAGACATACCCATAAAATAATTTATATAGTTAAGAAAAGAAGGTACTTTGGTTGTAGAATCCCCCAGCAGAATGTGCTGCAGAAGAATCCCATCAGAATGTGATGCAAGAAGGGACCCGAATTTATGGTAGGCCCATGCAACCTGCCAGACTGGACCATTGTGACATGTCAATGTGGTAAGGGAGTGTGAGGTGGCGGTTTTGATGTTGGTGGTGACACTGATTATCTTGATTGTGGCATCAGAGGAGGTGGATGCTACTCGTTTTCCATAGTAATCCATACAGACATCATGGATTATGTATGTATGACCTGTTTCAATCTTCTGCCCAGGCATGATCTGTTGAATTTAAAGAAGATTTGGATCAGTGGATGTGAAAACAAATTGAAGAATTCATATAATCATTAAGTTTGATAGAAGAATAGGTTTAGTGTTATGAAGAAATTGAATGTTCCAAATCTGCTCAAGGATATGGTTGAGAGAAGAGTGTAAACGTAATCATCAAAATTTTCCCCAATTCAAAATTTTGAAAAATGCATTTACAATCAGGACGCTGTTCTTCCCCAATTTCTAAGAATTCATATGCTGCTACACAATTATATACGAAACAAAACTTCTAATCTATGAAATTTCATACCGAGGCAATTAAACATTTCTCAATTCTAAGCCCTAATTATAGATCTCTATTCAAATTCTCCCCTTAGATTGGAAGATCAATATCAAGATTGCCAATTTGGCAAAAGAAATAAAAATAGAAGTGTCATATAAAGAAAATTTTCATCAATGATGCTTAGGTTTGAACCATTCATCAGTCTCGTATGTTTTGGTTCCTAAATCAAAAAAATCCCCTTTACAAATAAATAGACTAAAGAAGGAGCACCAGATTTTCGCATCTAACTAAACTATAAACACCGAACTTCAAATAATACCGATTTTATAAATATTTAAGAATGGAATAATGTTAATCCTCTGTACAAGAAGTATATATGTAGAAGTAGAATAGAAAAGAAACAAAGAAGAGGCGAGGAAAGGAGATAACCTAAAATCAGAATCTGCAATTGAAAAAGCATGACGAGAGGCGCTTGTTGTTCAGAACATGTTCATAGTTATAAACTCTGTAATGGAACTATAAATGGTGAAATGAGATCGAGAGGCACTTGTTCGGCCTTAAGATGTCAAGGATATCAGTTGCCTTCTCTAGGAAGTTGGTCCAAAGCCACTCGTACCTCCTCCTCCGAGTTCTGTACCAGAATATACACACAGGCCATTGACTTGAAATTAGGTTTTTGCTCCCGTCGACAATCATAGAGCGCCGGAATCTGATTATCGTCGGAATGTTATATAAGGATTTCGCAAGGTTTAACAGTGAGGATGGGGTGAGAGAGCTACAAATGGTAATGATGGATGAAGTGTTGGTTGATAAGGCATGTACATCGTCGTCGTGCGATGCCTAAAGATTCGGTGTGGGTTGGAGGTGGTGGAGGTGGGTATGAGGCGGGGTTTTAGGGATTCGTTTAATCGAAGAGGATTTTAAGAATTTCAAGAATATGAAAATATCGATTGAGGTCAAAAATATGATTTCAGGAACCTCACAACTAAAAATCGCATATCAGAATCCACACAATGCTTTTAGGGTTTCTTTTGATCGAAGAGAATTTCACAACATACGAAGAAGGAGGAGAGTATCAGGCGGGGGTTTTCAATTTTTTGGTAGTTCTCCATGGTTGACTTACTAAAGATGGTGAAGTGGATCGGAGAAGATGGAGAAGGAGGGAGAGGGGAGAATCGATTACGGAGAGCCGGAGATGAAAGAAGAAAGAAGGTAGAAAAGCGGGCTTTCAAAATTTTGGGGATTTCGTTTCCCCCGTATCTACTAAACACGCTTTTCTTTAAAATTATAAAGCGAGACTTATAGAGGGCGCGCATTTTTAGATAAAGTGCCCTCCGTGTTTTTAATTTTTTTTACATTAGACACTAATTTAAGGGCACGCAATAATGCGTGATCTAAATCCTTAAATTTTTTAAAGAGATGACATTTTTTAATGTCACTCTCTTTTGTGTAACATAAATCAATGAGTGTCGTGGTTTGCGCGTCGTTAAAGGGTCTTTGTCTTGTAGTGATTCTAGCCAGCGTCGTTGCCTCATATTCAATTCCTTCTGATTAAAGAGATATTGGAGACTCTTATGATCAGTAAAAAGTTTGCACTTCGTGCCATAGAGGTAATGCCTCCATATCTTCAGAGCGAAAACTACCACTGCCAACTCCAAATCATGAGTCGGGTAGTTCTTTTCATGCTCTTTCAGCTGTCGAGACTCATATGTTATCACCTTTTCTCTTTGGGTCAAAACACAACCTAATCCAACCCCAGACGCATCGCTATAAATAGCAAAGTCTTCAACTCCATCGGGTAGAGAAAATATTGGTGCCTCGCATAGTTTCTTCTTTAGCTTCTTGAATGCTTCTTTATGCTTCTCACTCCAAGCATAAGTAGCTCCTTTGTGGGTCAAAGCTGTTAATGGACTAGCGATCGAAGAAAAACCTTGGATAAACCTTTGGTAATATCCGGCTAATCCTAAAAAGCTTCGGATCTCCGTGGGACTTTTCGGTTGTTCCCACTTCATTACAGCTTCAATCTTTGCTGGATCAACCATTATCCTTTCTTGGTTGACCACGTGACCCAAGAATTGGACTTCTCGAATCCAAAAATCACATTTGGAGAACTTAGCATACAGCTTCTCCTTCTTCAAGACTTCTAACACTTCTCGCAAGTGTCTACTATGCTCCTCCTGGCTTTTCGAGTAAATCAGAATGTCTTCTATGAACACTATCACGGATTTATCAAGGAATAGATTACAAACCCTGTTGATTAAATCCATGAATGCTGCTGGAGCATTGGTTAGTCCAAACGACATAACCAAAAACTCGTAGTATCCATATTGGGTTCTGAATGCAGTCTTCTCTATATCATGCTCTCTTACTTTCAGCAGATGATATTTTGACCTTAGGTCGATCTTCGAGAAATAGTCGAACCTTGTAGTTGATCGAATAGGTCATCAATCCTTGGCAACGGATATCTATTCTTTATTGTTGCCTTATTCAGCTCTCGGTAATCGATGCACATCCTCATGCTTCCATCTTTCTTCTTTACAAATAACACCAGCGCTCCCCACGGTGATGAGCTAGGTCTAATGAAACATTTTTCCAATAACTCCTGAAGTTGCATCATTAACTCCTTCATCTCTGTTGGTGCTAATCGATAAGGTGCTTTTGCAATTGGCATTGTTCCGGGCAACAAGTCAATACGGAATTCCACTTGTCGATCAGGCGGTAATCCAGGAAGATCTTCGGGAAATACTTCCGGATAATCACACACAACGGGAATATTCTGCATCACCTTCTTTTCTTCTTAGCATTGATCACAAATGCTAAGTATGATGTACACCCCTTGGTCAAACATTTTCTAGCTTTCATTAGAGAAATGATTCCAGAATTTACTCTACGTTTATCTCCATACACCATAAACGATTCCTTCCCTGGCGAGTTTACCTTTACTATCTTCTTCTTGCACAAAATTTCGGCATCATTGGCGCTAAGCCAATCCATTCCCAAAACGATGTCAAAACCGTTAAGTTCGATAGGCAATAATTCCTCATGGAACTTATTCCCAGTCTAATCAATTAATATGTTTTTCATACGATAGCTAACAGGTACAAACTTACCACTAGCAACTTCGACTAATAAGGCATTATCTAGTCTATCAATAGGCAAAGCTAGTTTTCTACCAAATTAATGCGATATAAAGGAGTAGTTGGCTCCAAAATCAAATAAAATTTGGGCAGGCAATGTGTTTACGAGAAAGGTACCTGAAGCGACATCAGCTTCATCTTTAGCAGCTTCCAGTGTCATCTGGAATGCTCTCGCCTTTGGCTTTGGCGGAATGTTGGGTTTAGCTGCCTCCTTCTTCTTTGGGCAGTCCCTCGACATGTGTCCCTCCTCACCACAACCATAGCAAACTTTCTTAGTAAGGGTACATTCATTGGCATAGTGAGCTGGCTTTCCACACTTGTAGCATGTGGCCACTACCTCACATTTTCCATGATACTTCTTCTTACATTTGTCGCACCATTTCGCTTCGCCTCCACTTCCCGTCGAACCAGACTTCGAGAACTTGTTTTTCTTATTGGACCCTGAAGTTCCATCGAACTTCCTCTTTTCACCAACTTCTATCCTCTCCAGACCCTTTTCCTTCTGCTGGGCCTCCACATTCTTAGCTGCACGAACAGCCATTTTCAGAGTAATTGCCATCTTGACTGTCGGACCAAAGTCGGCAGGCAGTCCATTAGCAAACCTCTCAATCTTGGAGAGTTCCGTTGGCACTAGGTACAGAAATAACTTCATTTTCTCAGTGAATGCAGTAGCATAGTCATCTATGCTCATCCTCCCCTTCTTCGAGTTTTGGAACTCATTGTTCAGATCAATCAGATCTATCTCTGAACAATACTGCACCCTTAGTTGTTCCAAGAACTCCTCCCATGACATTTTCAGGGCTTCCCTCGTGGCATAGTATCTACCAACAACTTCCACCAACTCAAGACTCCAATCTTCAGTTGTCTAACTGCAAAGACGGTCTTCTGTTTGTTGCTACAGTCGCAACTTTCAAATACCATCTCCATTTCAGAGACCCAATCCATTATTTCAACAGGATTCGGGCTTCCAGAAAGACTTGGCGGCTTGGCGCCCAAGAAATTCTTGTACATTCGCCCATCCTTGTTGTTTCCCCTTTCCGGATCGTTCCTTCATTCATCTTGAGTCCCAACTTGACTCATAATGCGACTATTGTTCCCTTCCTCCGATTGCTTGGGATTCAATTCAGGTTCCTCAATAGGTATGATAGGCTCGTCCCTATTATTATGCAACATCTGTCGCATCTCCTCCCTTTGTTCGGCTAACATAGCCCGAATCATGGCTTGCACCCCAGCCATTGTTATTGGTTCTGGTGCTGCTGCTACAACAGGTATTTGCTCAATCACTGGCGGTTGATTCCTGTTTTCATCCGCGTTTCCAGCGCCACTCCTTGTTCTCACCATTTTTGATCTACACACCGAATAAGGTGAAATTCAGATCTTCATTCACGATAGATTTCAAATCATCCTTATCACTCCGAAACGATTACATGCTAGTTCTAATATCGTATACATACGCTTACAATCCTAAACACATAAAGTTTCAGATCCGGTTGGCAACAAACCGTAGATCCGAACAAATAATATCATATATGGCAACATATAACATTTAGCACATAAAAGCATTTTAGGCAACTTTCCTAAAAATAAAC